GGGCTTTAGAAGTTGGCGTAGTAGGCAGTAAAAGGGTTGTCTCTCGAGGATCCTTATCGGTGCCCTCCTCTTGTTCCGTATCACCTGGGCTGGGAATAGGGCGCACTTCATCCGACATGGCCCGAACCTCAAATCGACCCTCTCCATGTGTGCTGCCTGCGACAGGTCGAGTAAGCGGTATATCCTTTTTGGTTCCAGCTGTGAGTGAAACAGATGGGGCCGTAATGGATCCATACGACCGCACTCCCTGGATCTGCTCCGACCTGGTGCTTCCAGGTAGTGGCGTAAACTCTTTCGGGAATGACGGCGATAATTCTGCAGGGACTTCGACTGTCTGATTCCGTTTCGAGTCTTGTTTGTAAAAGGTGTCTTCCTCTCCAGCATCATTTCCGTCGCATAGACCTTTAAATGCTTCCGTCCCACTATCACCCCGTTGTTGCTTTCGGGCTTGAGTCTTTCTTCCAAGACTTTTCGAGTAGAGAGATGCAGCACCAAAGTACAGCGCAAGAGCAACTCCGACGACCGCGATAGCTACTGCAAAACCTAGTCCCAGAATGCCAATGATGGGGGTAGTGCCTGAGATTGCAAGTGTAGAGTACCGTCGAAAAATTTCACCGTTCGTCGCTGAAGACTTCGATCTGTAGTTTGGTATGACTGCTGAGTTTGCGAGCAACGGCAGGAAAGTAAGGTTCAGAAGCTGTGTTGTTGTTGTTAGTCGTAGGGGCGACATCGGAAAGTGCAGAAACGAAGTTTGTGAGGGTCCGTAGTATTCTGTTGGCAGTTATCTGTTGCTACTGAGTTCAATTTGTTAGAATAGTACAATTCTCTAGTAAGGTAGAACGGGACATACATTCAACGCTCCTCAATCGATGTATTTGGCAATCCGAACGATGTGGGGGAGTGGGCAAGGTTCTGGTAGGACGAAATACTTAACTCAGAAATGGGCTATGATGAACTGGTGAAAGTGTGCTGGATTGAATATCTCTGATCCTCCATCTTGACCATGGCGTGTATCGTTTATGGTGATGGCTCCTGGTCTGTTGCATTCTTGTCTTGATTTCGTTTGCACTGACGGAGGTGGATGCAGTTGAGCACTTGCGGCTTAAAACCACGTGGTTTCTTTGTAAGGCTTGAGGAAAAATCACATGTCATTACTCTAGTTAGTTAACTAATCAAACTATTCCTAATCCGACTTACTGCATCCGCCTCAGTGACGACAGCAACACCACAATACCCAACCCGAACTCAAACACAGTATGAACTCAACGATGCAACACTCAATCATCTACAGAGTACCAACAACAAAGCACATCACGACTACAACTACACCTTCGCTGGCCCCACGATAGACCCTCCGTCCGACCATCCCGTTAGCCCCACTACCTCGAAGCATCGTCCTCGACCGCCTTTCGAACAGCTCGACTCTCTTTCCAACACAAAGCCCTCTTTGGAATGTTTCGGCTACCATCATCACCACCTGTCTGTTCAGACCCAACATGCGGTTCGAATATGGGCCGCGGCCCATGCTTTTGTCGACCTGGTGCAAGATGGCCTTCGCTCTCGAATTCCGTTTGCTTCGTCTAGCAAGCTCGGAGAAGAGTCGTCGGTGATCTGGTACTGGGAGGTCTCTGGCCGCCCTTCTCGCAACTCGAGAGCCACTGGCAGCTGCCTGGTGCCGGAGAACAAGACGCAGGAGCATGCGCAGAACTCCTGAGACCGGCTGATTTCTGCGCGAAGCTTCGACCATGCCCGTCTGGAAGAGTCGAAAAAGCAAGAGCCGGACCGGTCCTGATAGCTGTGGTACAGTCCTACCCTCACGGTCTTTTTGCTGGTCTATTCTTGTCATTTTGAGTTGATTGATGTCGATTCTCTCCAACTACTCGGCTTTTGAGGGGTGGTTCGACGTCAGTTGCTTCTTTGGATGCTGCGGTTCTGTGGAGATTTGAGGAAGGTCGGTCGGTAGTTGGTGCTATCGGGGGTGGCTCAACGAGAAACTTTGGGATGGAGGATGTACTGAACTTCTAGGTTGCTTGGGGGGATGAGAGCTTAAAGGAAATGGCTCTGTTTGCTTTCTTGCTCCCCGTTTGCGTTAGGTGCTCGAGCAAGATGACCTACTCTTCACTGCATTCTTTGCTCCAGCTACCTGGTGAACGAAATGCTGAGTTTTAGGCCCGCCCTTTACTTAGAATTTGGCCGCCATAGCTTTGCGTATCAGCTTACGTTTACTCCATGTCGACCCATCCAGAAGCCCAAATAGCGAACCGCCCGACTTTCCGTTCTTGCTCTTGGATTCGTTCTTCCTCCACATTCTCGAAGTGGTAAACCGCGAACCAAAGGCTTGATCCGCGGCATTCCAAGGCTTTTCATCTCGGAGTATGCTTTCTGCCTGTTGCTTTTCCTTTTCCGTCCTTCTTTTCCACCAGACGTACTTCAACCAACAACCTACCGCTACAACTAATATCAGCGCTATAATTCCAAGCATAGCCCATATTTTCTGCCCCATGTCGGGTGATCCCATTCCCAGTGTTTTTTCGATGCTGTCTCTGCTCTCCACGTTACGGCTCGGGGTGGGATCGGTTCCATTGGTGTCGATACCATTACTTGGATAAGGCATAGCATCAATGATGGCCGCACATATGAGAAGTAGCAACGTCGAGGAGGAGAGATGAAGTCGAGGCTGACCAATCGATCCGGAGAACTCGGGTTTTGGCATCTCGAGTTCGTTGCCTGACTCGGGAGATGCCGAGTGTGGGGGAGGTATGGTCTGGGAAACACTTCTGATACTGCTCCGAATGAGATGAGTTGATAAATAGTAGAGCTGGGTTTCTCCTCTCGTTGGTCTTAAATGAATCCTGATTTTCTAGCTTCAAGAAGGTAGACAGTTTGCCCGTTGTTTTGTTCGGTGTTGTTTCTAACCGTGCAACTTGTACAGCTACCCGCAAATGCTCCACACTGGTCCGCTAGTATTGTCTAGTCTGATGGAGCTGTCTTGAAGTTGGCATCTTGACTATACGTTTTCAGGTTGACGAAGAATGGTTGATCAGAGTCAAGCTTCTGAGAGACTTGATGTTTCTTGATTGAGATGGACACGGGACAACCAAACGAGATCTCAAGGTCTTGATTACAGGGCTGTAGTGAGTACATCGTACTGAACGGTAAGGCAGTTCTCATTCCGGGGTGTCATTTGGACCTAATAAGGATGTAGGATAGAGTCCTACAAATTCGCTTTGATTGTCTATTACTATCCGACATACCACCACCATATGTACATGCTATGGCTACTTTGTAGCTACCACCGGCTTGTTCCATGTTCTGTCGGCCTACAAATGGCCTCTGGCGTGTTCTCACGTTGTCTGAGGCGGCCAATAACTTCTATGATGAGTCTGTACTGTTACGAATCCATCATTCCTATCCCCCGGTTCAGCATGTCTCTTTCCCTCTAGTCGCAACTCATCTTCTTCAGCATCGAAGGCACCATTCCTAGATATGTGTCAGCACCTCACCAGGCCCTCACGAAGGAACAACTTACAAAAATACCTCCTCATCAACGGGCGGCTTCTCGGCCTTCAAGAATGTCTGCTTCCCAGTCGTGACAAGCTTCCGGACATACCAAAGCGAGATACTGACGAGTGAAATGGTTGCAACGAGCGTTACGACGATGCATGCTATTACGAGCGGAGAGTGGTTGTTGGATGGATCCGATGCTGGTTCGGGTGCTATGGCTATTGGTATTGGGATCGGAAGAGTCGGTTCTTTCAGGAGAGGCGTGAGGTCTGGGAGTGGGATTGCTAGGACTGCTCTCAGATGGAGGAAAGTTGCTAATAAAGTGAAGAGGGGCAACATGTCGTCAGGTTGCCTGCGTCTGGAGCTTCAGAGCAGGTTCTTGTGTGGCTGGATTTCTCTGCGGTTTGGCTATGATCTACCTCGCCTGGTTAGAATCTGCATACGGTGCAGTTGATGGGATACCCACAAAGTATTAGCCTCTGAGATGGTACTCGTGGAATACACTCTTTTCTTAACCCTAACTGATGCGTTGGAGCTGGAGCTGTTATGTACTCGAGATGGACAGTGGCGAATCAGGCTTATTGACAAAGTCGGGTATCGGATGACGGTTTATATTGGAGCATATGTACTGGAAGCTGTTTGGAGGATTAATCGACTTGTTAGGCATGGCATAGGGCTTGTGTGTTGTTCCATTGCTGAAACGCATCTTGAGCTTGTGTAGAGAGACATTCCACAAGCTGTTGTCTTTCAGCGAAGACACAGCTCGAAATGTGGCCGTCTTGTCACAAGATGGTCACTTGTCAGAATCACCTCGACAGAACTGCCAACTTGATTCAGTTCGTCGCGAATCTCGGAGTTTAGTTGCAACTGGTACATGGTAAGAGTTATAATTTGCTTCCAGAATACCGCTAATCATATCAGGAAGTCCCCCACCACCAACCACATCAGTCAGATTGAATGACCAAATACCATTTACCTCTCGAATGCTCAGTGGAGCTTCCAGCCTTCTATTGTGCAATGATTACCCTATCACAGGGTGCATAAGGACCTGTAACAACAACGGGGATCATTGGTGTCGCCATCGTCTCATTCCGAGTCCGATTACGCTTCGGCTTACTAGCCCACCGGATTCGACCTGTCAAACAACAAAACAGAACTGGCAAGCTGATGAGGAATACGGCGAGGACGCAAATGATGGCTATGATGCCGTTTCGTTTGGTGGATCGCTTCACCAGCCTGCTGGCGGTGGGGTTTTGATGAGTCGTAAATGGTGGAATGGGCATGGCAGATGAGATGTTGATGTGGAAAAGGCTGAGGAGGAGGAGTAAGATGGTATGTAATTGATGCATTGCTAGGACTTGATGATGGGGTAATTGTGGATGCGTTTGACCGTGAATGAAGAACAAGTATTGGAGGGTCGTATCGTTTGAAGCTGTTCTGAACTGTATATCGGCGGTAAGCAAGCCCTCGAGCAAGCTATCTCTGGCGCCCTCAGGCTCAGGTGGACTTCCTCTGACCCTAAATAGCAGAAGTCCCGACCTTTCTTTGTTTGCTGTCTTCCACCATCATCCATTCCTCGCTCTATAGCCTCTCTTCACCTCCGCGTCAACCCTCTGTCTCTTAGCAGCCCCTTCAGCTTCAGGTCAAGCACGTAGAATAATCCAATCAATGCCAGGATTCCACCGACAACTCCAATCGTCACTCCGGCAACAGCTCCGTTGCTTGGTGGGCCTCCTTTTGCGCTCTGGGCTGAAGTTTCTGCGTCTGCGGCGATAAGTGGCATGGCTCCTTCTTCCCCTGATGTTGTTGTGCTGTTGCGGGGATGTAGAGCCAGTGCTGAGATGGTCGATATGTTGAGCAGGAGAATGCAAAAGAGCGATACAAGTAACTGTCTCTGAAGGTGGGACTGGAGAGATGCCATAGCTAGCTGTGTTGGATCGTCGTGTGAAAAGGACAGAAAGGCTATTGGAGGAGTAGTATCGTACTGTACTGTTGTTTGGATGTGGAAAGGGCCGATTTCTGGAGGAATACAAAGTAAAAATGGGTTGCCTTAAGTAAAGAGTTCAGAATTCCTAGTTGCACAGCCGCTTTCGGATTCGTTTGCTTAATGGGAAGGAATGTACATCATGATGCTTAGCTTGGAGAATGTTTGATGTGAAAACAGTGCAAACGAACGGCTCCGCCGCCTCCTTGACGAGTCGCAATCGGAAAGCTACCGCCTTGCAGCGCTGTATTTTGCATTTTGCGTTTGCTACGAGCTTCCATACTACAATCTCACTTTCAAGTATTTGACTGAGGTCCAAAGTTGTTGTTTGCAATAGGTACAACTGCTTGCTGTTTACTTTACTGGATTCAAAAGTATCTAGGCTTGATCAAAAGTACGGCAAAAAGAACATTCCGAATCCGGGAATTGAACCCGGGTCTTCCCGGCTCCTCCTGTCGAAGACAGAGATGAAAGCGGAAAATGATAGCCACTACACTAATCCGGATGTTGTATGCATGAACAGCCATTTACAAATATATATACCCGTCAGGCTTCAGAGTGAAGTCAACTTGTCCTCTTTTACGTGGAATATGAGTATGTCTGGTCGTCTTTAAACCGTTGAAATCCAAGTTTTACACTTATATACTGCCTTGAGGCGCTCATAGGCCGGTGCCAGCTCGGTTATCGCGCCCTAAGCGATCTGTGGTGCATGTTGGAATGGAAGGGCGTGTAATCAATATCAGCGATGCATCTCATCAAAGCTATATCAACCTGGAATGCAACCTTGCAGGATGTGAAGTGACTCTAGAGCAAACGTTACAAGCTACAAATAATCAGTCAAATATTAGAGAATCGCACTATGTTCAGACTTGTTCTTCAGGGACCATGATTGGTGGTCGCCGGAATCCAAGGCGCTTAGCGTCAACTTTCTGCCTTCTTTCGGTCTGCTTTCTATGATGTCATTTCGGAGCTGAGCGACCGCAACTGAGCTTGCTGAGGGTCTGACAACAATAAACGGAGTGCAAGGGTGGTTCTGCATTTACAAATATTTATTGAAGAGCTAAAGAGGGTTATTGATAAAGCATTACAATCCTCATATGCTTTGAGTAACTCTTGACAGTAATACTTACGAAATGGAGCTCGAGTTGTGTTACGTAAGTCCTACCCAATCCAGACCTTCTCTCAGCCCCAGCCGTGATGCTGATCGCAACCCCACACAACGCTAGTTTGGGCTCGGCCATCGACCATGACGAATCATTCCGAAGCTTGTCGAAAGTACGTCATGTTGACATGATTCAGGGGCTCCGTAAGTCGGGGTATGTGCCTGGATTGGCATCGTTGTCGGGCATATAAAGGCCCATGTCCCTTCTCCAGTTTCTCCCCAGTTGAATTCATCATACCCTCTTACAATCTACTGCTTTCACCATACGACTACCTTTACCTATAAGTCAGCATCACCCTACGTAAACGTTTACTTTCAAATCACATACAACATGGCTGTTGGTTACTACGAGGTATGTGGAGCTGCCTCCAGCTCGATCAAGGTCGCATTGAACGAGAACGGTTTAATCCTCTGACACGGATACCAGATTAGAACTCTCATGGACAAGAACTGCCAGAGACTCGGAAAGGACATAGAAACCTATATCAAGACCAACGGCGGCAAGGTCTACCCTTCTCCATTCTTACTGCCACCAGTCATCCTGTACGTTACCGTTCTCGTTCTTCTTCTCCATCGTTTCACCGACTGTAACTAACTCCGTTGAAGCTGTGAAATTCCAGAGGAGATGGTGGAGACAATTCAGAAGGAGTTCAAGGGCATCAGCGAGATCGTCAAGGATGAATCGAAGTAGTGAAGTGGGCCTTTGATGGGCGCCACATCGTTTAGCATTAGTAGAAGGGCGTTTTCTTTGAGCATTCTTGGGTTTTGGTAATAGCGAAATGCATGTTTTACGTTAGTTCTTGCTTCTGCGGTGTCTGTTCTTACCTCCAATGTTCGGTTGCTCATGTCCAGAGACGTCGAGACCAGCTAGGAGAGATACATGGAGGGTATTCTCCATCATGGTGCATCATGGACCAGTTCTGGATCGCTACAGATATATTATCCCGACAGTTCCAGCAGCCTGAGGCAGCATCTGTTCCGAGTCACATAATGACTTGTAGCATATGAACTGCATGCGCATGGCATGGGAGAGATCCCGATTTGGCCCTTCTAGTCCGAGTACTTTGTACAGCTTTCATTCTCACTGAGTTGTTCTCTTTTTTCACCATGTAGGACGCAGAGATGCAACTGCGGGGTACAAACTGCGACGATTAGCCAGCGGACCGTGAGCTAGCTCTCAATCAAGTGCTACTAGTATGCAGTTCGTGGTGCCAGTGCAGTGGCAGCAGTAACTTCTGAGCTGCAAAGTTCTTGGGGTACCTGTTTATGAATTTAGCTGTATATCACCTCTATCGAACCGCTGATGAATTACACAAGGTATAGGTTTGGAGCTGGGTTGTGGAGAGTTGTTTGGTTCCTGTCTGGTATGTAGTACGGTTCCGTACTTGGGAAGTGTAAGCGAGATGACGCTAACTTGGACAGTCATATTTCGCACCTCCACGCTCGCTTCACCTTCACCATCGTCACCACTCGAACAAACACACTCACAATGCCTTTCAATCATTTGCACGCTCCCCTTCAAGTTAGACATCAAACACCGACATGAACATCATCACGAAACCGCCCTGCCAGTGAAAGGCATCTTAAGCAGCAACAGGCAGAGTTGACCGACATGGGGAGAGCTCAACGAGCCTCCGCCCGACGGGTTTTGTGAGCATGATCCTCTTTCGTTCTCCCTAGTTGACGCTGATTACAGTCGTCTTTTGGCAAGTACGGATAATGCTCTCGTCGGATGGGGGGGAAATGCTAGAGGTTGTCATCGGAACTGCGTCACGGTATGTCCTCGGATTCACAATGGCAAAGGGCTGAGCCCACATGGGCAATTTAGTACGTGTCTGCTATGATATTGACCTGCTTTACATATCGCTGACACTCGAGTAGATTTGTAGCTTGTATTCATCGAGATTGTCGCCAACGATGGAAGGAACGCACCCCACACCTCAGCATTCGAATTCTGGACAAACGACCATCGGACAGGGTGCACGCTCTTCAACATATGTAACGCTAGCAGCATTACCTGTTGACCTCTTTCGGGATTGTGTGAATGGGCAACGAAGTCGAGGTGTGAGCAGAACGACTTTCGATCGAAACAATCATAGAGGGCAACTGGTGGATTATCCAAAGTGCTTCTCTATCGAGAGGTCTTTACGTGTTTCTGCCATGGAAGAGTACTGTCGGTGGGTTCTCCGCATTTACCCCCCTTGCGTGAGGCGCTGCTCGTACGTATGCGAATACCACATGGCTTGGGGCCATTCAGGAGTTGTTTTGAGCTTCAATAATGGACATGAGGCGTAACATTCCAGAGATATTATGAAGCTGGGCACAATGGGACTGCATCGCTGTTGGTCAATTGAATGTATTTTTGCTCACAAGGAACCAGATGGAAGAGGCGAAACCTAACCGCGAGCGATCTTGCAAGGGCAAAGACGAAAGCGTCTGGAATGTTGACCTATTTGGAAGTTCTTCATGCAAAATGTTTGGAAACGTCCTTTGTTTCCTTGTTTCGCACGATGGGAACCTGAATGTTTATGTAGTGCATGCTCTCACCGTATAGAAATAGATAAGGCCGAATTCTATCCTTGTTTCCGGTCATGGTTTCCGCCTTTTCCACATGTCTTATCCCAGGGCTCTTAAAGGCAGATCAACCTTCCAATGCAATGCTGATCAGTGTCAACTTGAGATTCCCAAGCTGCATCCGTGAAGATCAAACAAACTTTCGGTGTTTCTTTTCCTCTTGTGGCTTTCTCTCCACGACTGACATCTGCAGATTGGTGTGCAACCCTAGGCTTTATTACACCCATCGACAACACCGAAAGACACTACCGAAAGCGAACACTACCTGCGTCCAAGACCCGGAAGCGGGGTCCGCACCGAGCAGTGGGGCATGATTCCCGAGTGTATGCATATCCCTGTCGATATGGACTCAGTACGAAAGATATGAGCTCGGCCTCGGCCTCAGCCTCCTTGCATCCCATAGATTCGTTGCCTCTTTAATGAGCGTTGCCGCCGTCAATATCAAGGGTCGTAATTGTGTGTGGAAGCACAGGCCGTTCTAAGAAGTACCACCGCAGATCCAGCAAAGGTCCCTGAGCGCCATAATTGTTAGGGATCCTCAGGCAATAGTTTTGGTGTTTGTGTGGTACATAAAAGGTCAATATGTCACCGGTAGGGCCGTCGGGTAACTGCGTTCTGGACAATCTCAGGACATATATGCATACATACTTCTTGTCGGTATGGATTTTGTACTATAAGAGCATGGTGAATGCCAGTTCTTAATGTGTACTTTCGAGGATTTGATTTGGCTTTGTGTATGCAGCTTGAGATTGGCCATGGATTTGTGCCTATGAAATACATATGTATCAGAGCCACCACCGGCCACCGGTCAGTACTAAGAATGCCAGTAGGTATTTGACATTTCAATTGTTAGATGTCTCATTGGCGATACTGGATGTCTTGATTCCGAACCCGTAAGTTGCAAGTTATAACTGATACGTCCTCTTCTCCTTGCCGATGGATGCGGGGAGAAGGATGCTTACTATACCTACTTATCCAGTAACTGTGATCTCAGATCCGTGCACAACCATGACTTGATTTCGAAGTCTCGAAACCAGCCAGTGAGCTTCAAAGAAGAACGTCTTCTACACTCGATTCCTCGACCGAGATGCAACCCACATGCACAGTACGACCCATACAACACATGCGCTCATCTCTTCTCATAAAGTGACTGCATGAATCCCGGCGTGAGTCACGACTTGCCCCTCGAGACCCTGAGGGCAAGAGCTGGGAGGACGCGTCGTGCTGCGTGTCTGCTAATTACATTGCCTGATTGGGCCTTCGTGATTTGCCGATGTGCAGGTTTTGGCCCAAGCGCTGATGATGCTGCTGGTCCCCGTGAACCGA